CCCCAAAACCCCAAAACCCCAAAACCCCTTTTTCTTTATAACAAATTGAAAAATTAAAAATGTAATTAGCGATATAAACAAATAGAGGAATCTGGCCATACTCTTCAGGAAGCTTATTACAGAGTAAATTAAATAAAAGGAAAGTTAGCTCTGCCAAGAGGAAGAAATCTAGAGAAGGATCTAAGGATAACTAAATATAACAGTCCTGTCAAGATTATTGTTAGCAATTATATGCCTGCTAATGCGACTAAGAGTTTTGTTTCTAAGAATTCTCCAAAAGACCTAACTAATTTGAGATATGCAGTTGTGAAATCTCTTCATGGAGAATCAGCATTTAAGAGCATAATGATCTCCGCCAGGAAGACCACTTAGCAAGTCTAAGAGGAAGCTAAAGGCAGGAATTTTCTAGTATTGCAATTCATCAGGAAATAAACCAATATTCTAATGAAATAATTTTTGAAAAATCTTACTCCATCAGAAAAGGAGATTTTTCAAGAAGTGGTTTGTACAATAAAAGACCTAATAGTGGTCCTAAGTTGTCAAATAGGATACAAAGATAAAATTCAGAGGATTTAAAATCAACCAAATCATCACCAGGATATAGTTCCAAGAGTAAGCACAGTGATGGAAGGGGCTTAACAAGTATGCCTTTGTTGATGCTTTCATGGACACTCCAAAGACTCTAAAACCTTTTAAAATTTCATCAAAACAAGACAAAAGTGGATCAGTTGATGAGATTTTGAAATATTGCTATGCAGGCAAAGGAACCTAGAGTAATTAAAAATAAAAAAAAGAAAACCAAGACTAAGAAGAAGAAGCTCAAATAGTAAAGAAGAATATGTTAAAAGATTTGGAATCAGCACTAGTAAATATCTTCCTGATTATTTCACCATCAAAACCAGGTGATAAAGCACATAGCTTGATAAATATTATCATTACCATCATTTTGCATTCTTCGGGCTACTCTCCTCAATCAAGTTTCAATAGCTCTACAGGCTAGGAAAACAGGAGTGAGAATTTTCAAAAATCTAAGGCTGAAAAACAAGAAATCAAAAATCCCAGCTAGTGGAACTTCTTTTGACGACAACAGGATGGAGTTGAAGCAAGAGATTTAAAAGTCCAAACCAAAGAAGAGAGATCACAGCGAAATTCCTAAAAGCAACCCTGTAGTTTAGGATGAAGAAAAGAAAGAAAAGAAGCTAGTCACAACCACTTGTGAATGATTCTTCAATGATAGACTCAGGTTTACCAGATTATTTTGATAATTATGCCTTTGCTACAACAAAAGGAATGATCCCAGATAAGTCTAACAAAGAGAGTCAGGATATTTATTTTGTAAACCAACATTTTTACATTAAAAATAGCTGGTTCTTTGAACTATGAGATTAGCATGAAGCCAATGGCCAGTTTGCATCAGACCATGATAAGCACCATCTACCTCAGAATATAGAATTACTAGACTATATGTTAATGATGCAAACACATCAAGTGAACTAGAAAAGTCCTGAAGAGAGGGGAAATTCAGGCTAAGGTTTCTTGGAAAATTACAATGAAGATCTTCAGACTTATCTTATGTCCTAGGATCATAAGGAGAAATGTACTATGATCAACTAAGGATATATAAAAACAGCTTGAGATATTGAATGGAGAGAGTTTAATTGTGATTGCTCTGATATATTAAGCTTTAGACCAGGAATTTGTTGTAGATCTGTTCTAGGTATCATACCAAGCAAAGAAGAAGCTGATATAATTTCCAAAAAACACAGCTGAAGTAAAGATGGAATCAGTAGCTGGCCCTACAAGTAAAGGTGACAACATGTGTATAACTACAAGCCTCTCTTAATCACAAGTTTGATGGAGGCGATGAATATCAGAGAATAATGGAATCTGATGAAAGAGTTGACTCCTTTAAAGAGGAAAATGGTGACCCTGTCGGGTCAGCTAGAGTCTGGATAAAAAAGCAAATGTTCCAGGATTAGCAAGGAGCAGATCCATGGGAGATCCAGTAACCAGTTCAGTAGACGCTATCTCGAGTCTGAGTTCTTTTAGCTTATACTCAATGAGCCTGATAAGTTTGTTATCATTCCTTCTGATGGAGTCTTTGAATTTATCAATAATGATGAATGTGTTAGACTAGTAGCATCATTTTGGGAAAAGAATGATCCTCAAGGAGCATTCAAATACTCACATACTTAAGTATCGAACACTGGGAGAGAAAATGAAATGATAGATGATATCACTGTTCTCGCAATCTTTCTTAAAATCCCAACAAAAACTATTTAATTATGCCTGTCTTAATAAATAATTTCAATAGATTCAAAATAACAAGGGGTTTTGGGGTTTTGGGGTTTTGGGGTTTTGGGG